CAGGCTTGTCCAGGGCTCAGAGACCAGCGATCAGGCACAGGCTTGTCCAGGGCTCAGAGACCAGAGATCAGGAACAGGCTTGTCCAGGGCTCAGATACCAGAGATCAGAAACAGGTCTACGGTCTATAAGAAGAAAAGGAAAGTATCCCACAAGGCAACATCTGAAACCTGATGCACAGCCTGAGTCACAGACCACAGCTTCCAGCAGTGACCACACAAGCTGCCAGCCTGGGACCTTCCCAGTAGATCTACTGCTGATCACCCCCTTTGATGAAAATAGAAATCAGCAGAATTTATATTTATCAGCATGAATTTACCTCTGTCCCGCCTGTACTATAAAATGTCAGTGCACCAGCTACAGAAAAGATTGGTGTTCTCCTTATAAAATGAGTTTTTGTTGTAAGTGGTTTCTTTGGATGCTGGGTATATGTACAGTATGTGTTTGAAAAGAGCTACAGGGAATGTGTTTTACCAGTATTTTACCCCACTTACTGTACTTCCATGACACTGTTCACACTTTCAGTGGACTGTGCTATTTTCCTCTCAGTAGGATGGAGACGGCTTTCAGAACTCATTAAGTGGAGAGTTTAGTGTGAAAGTCTGTGCAGGCTGTTGCTGGTTCTTTTACATGAAGAGGCAGAAGCAGCAAATTTAATGTGATTTAAGCACATTTACACACAGATACAAAAGACAAAGCACCCAGCTTATTTCTAACAGCTTCACCCAATTTAGGGTCACAGAGGAGCTGGAGCCTACCCTAGCACAAGGCAGGATACACCGTGGACAGGACACCAGTCCATCAAAAGGCACACACAAACACACACACCCTCACATTAGGGACAGTTTTCCCAGAAGCCAATTAACCCACCAGCAGAACTGAACCCATGGCCCCCGTACCTACCCAACCACCACGCCACTGTGCCTGCTAAAATGGCCAGGAGGCCAATATAGATATCTCAGTGGCACAGTAGTGCCTCGCAATGCTTGGGCTCTGGGTTCAATTCCAGACCTGGGGTGCTGTCTGGGTGGAGTTTGCATGTTCTCCCCGCGTCCACATGGGCTCCAGGTGCTCCCAGAGTCCAAAGACGGGCTGGTGGGTTAATAGGCATCCAGGAAAACTGTCCCTAATGTGAGTGTGTGTCTGTGTCAGTGTGTGTGCCCTGTGACGGACTGGTGTCCCATCCATGGTGTATCCTGCCTCGCGCCCATTGCTTGCTGGGATGGACTCTTGATTGGTCGACGCAGTTAGAAAACAGATGGGTGGTCTCCGCCTGACCCAGGAAATCTGTGTTAATTTTTTTTTTAAAGAAAAGGAAGAGGACTTTTGTTCTTGTGCCCTACTGTGTCACGACTGCTTCATGGCGGATTTCGGCCTGGAGCAAGTGCACACCCAGGGCCTTTGGAGGAGGGCTGTAAATATCCGTGGACGTTTCAGCGGTGCTCCCCTGCCATTGTGGATTAGAATTATGGGTTAATATCCGTGACTGTGTTCAGGCCCAATAATGAAAACAGAAAGAACTCCAGTCCCTGCGAACACTGCAGCCTGATGTAAATCTCTGGAAGGTGCAGTTTTAATAATATACTGTATATATCTAATGTTGTAGTGTTTATATATGTGGCCCATGAGGCAGAGGAATTAGATTCTTTTTCGACTTGTATTTAATCATTTATTTATCTTTCTTCTCTTCTTCTTTCCCCTTCCTTCTTCCCTCTTTCTCTCTCTCTCTCTCTCTGTCTGTAGAATACCCGTTGTCAATCTCTGAGGCTCTTAATATGTTACTGCACTTCCTGACTCGCCCCCTAGGAGGCGCTCTGGTCCGGACTGTTCCTATATCTTCTCAGTCGATCCTCTGTGAATCTGTCTGCTGGACACTCTTTTTACTGGATCCTGTATTTGTTTCTTGGGTTGATTTTTCTTTCAAATCTTTGCCTTTTGACAGACTGTGAACTGAGGTTCCTTAAGCTAACAAGACGAGAAAGCCATGTTGAGTTGTTCACGGGGCACAATGTTTGTGATCCGCGGTTTCAGTGACAGCGGGGGCGTGCGAGCCAGGTGTTCACAAGGTAATTGCGCCAGGCTGAAACAAAGCCATTGATGTGGTTGTTTCTGCACTGAAACTCTTGCCAGGGCCATTAATTGTCTTAATTTTTATTACTGCAACACATGGAGATCTCCAGGTGGAAGTCACATATTTTCAAAACAAACAATTGAAACAAGCCATGCTAGAAGCCATAAGTATGTGACCCTTACTGCAAGAATTTATTACCCTCTATTGATATTCCCCAAGCAGTGATTCATTGATCCTTATATCACCCAAGCCATGATTGGCCAATCAGGACATGACCTTGCCCATCACTGGGCAACTCTGACATCACACGAGCCATGATTGATTGGCCAATCCAGACATTACCAGAGCCATTACTGGCCAATCTTGACTTGACCTTACCCATGACTGGCCAATCCTGACCTCACCTGAGCCATGCTTGATTGGCCAATCCTGACATCACCTGAAGCGTCATTGATTGGCCAATCCTGACTTGAATTTACCCATGACTGGCCAATCCTGACATCACCTGAGCCATGATTGACTGGCCCGTCCTGACTTGACCTTACCCATCACTGACCAATCCTGACATTAACTGAGCCATGATTGGTTGGCCAATCCTGACTTGACCTGTCCCATGATTGGTTGGCCAATCCTGACATCACCTGAGCCACGACTGATGGGCCAGTCCTGACTTGACCTGTCCCAGGATTGAGTGGCCAGTCCTGACATCACCCAAGCATATCACAAAGATTTCCAGTATGTGCCTTTGTACTGTATATGTACTGTCCATACATACAAAGGAATTACATATTGGCAATGAATGATCTTGACACACAGGCGATCTGCCAGGTAAATCACGGGCCAATTTCGATGTCGCACAAGACGTAGTGTTAAGCATTGTTTTCCTCCTTCGGTGTTTTGTCCTGCCCCAAGGTGAAGCAGAGATCAGTGCAAACATAGTGTATATTTCTATATTTGTTTGAAGGAGGCAAGCTTCTTTAAACTTGGGGTGGTGGGAGGCGGGTGGCGATCAGAGGGTTAAGGCAGGGTTTCCCAAAATCCGGGTCCTCGGAGGTGGGGGGGGGTCTCCCCTTGAATTCTGTTTTTTGCAGTACCCCCAAGCCGACAGAGTTCCTAGACTCCCCCATTTGTTACAAACACCAAACAAGCCGTTTTCTCTGCGACCTGATGGCTGTTTGCCCTCTGACCTCGCTCTCCAGGAAGAACCTGCAGTACCCCCAAGCCGACAGAGTTCCTAGACTCCCCCATTTGTTACAAACACCAAACAAGCCGTTTTCTCTGCGACCTGATGGCTGTTTGCCCTCTGACCTCGCTCTCCAGGAAGAACCTGCTGCGAGGGTGCTGATGTCATCAGCTCTGGGACAAAAAAAGTGGGAATTCTCTGCTCCCCCCCGGTACAGCTGCTGCCGGTCTGCTGAGTGTCCCCAAACAGGCTTATTAATCAGCGATCGCGGCTCAGGCGCCCTTCACCCAGAATGCTCGGCGGTCAGATCACTAAGCCGCCAGGAGCAGCAGTTCCGCACCCTGGGGTGCGAAGGCTGGTTTTCCCTTTCCCTTTGCTATTAAAATAACGAGGGGTTGTTGTTTTTTTTTTACAAAAAAAAGAAAGGTGTGTTGTTTTTTTTCCAGCAATACCTGTAAGGACACGGCTGGGTCAGCTACATGCCTGAAAAACAGCAGGCTGAAGGGCTAGCCAGGCCCCCTGGCACAAGAGCAGTGAGCCCGTGTCGGGGCTGGATTTCAGTTTCCCCCACCGACGCCCTCACCCCTGCCGGAGAGGGAGGGGGCGACCCCAAGGAAGGTGTATGGAGGTTTTGAGGGCATACGCTGTATGCTGGCTTCATTCCATCACAGTATCTGCTGTAGAAACAGGAGGCCCAGATCTGTCTCCTCTTCTCTGCCATCTGTATTTGACTCGAGAGTTGGAATCAGACTTGATCCCGCTGACGGCCCACTGAGGGACCTCCTTGTGTTCTGTCCTTAAGATGGGAGTGGAAGGTCAGGGATATCCCCTAAGTACCCCCACAGTCTGGGCGTGGTCAGAGACACTGCTGCTGGAGGGGAGCGTGTCCCACTGAAAGCTAGTTTAGGAGCCTTGAACTGGAGTGTGTAAAAGACCCCCCTTCTATTTATAAAAGGGTCATCTTGTACTTTCAGTCGATTACTTGTCTTTCGGTTCGTGGTGGGTTACACCTTTTTCTGACAAGGACTGCCTGGATATTGATTGTAATATTGACCGTATGTCTATGTGTCGCAATGTTGCATTGATCAATAAACGGGAGTTTGTGAAATACTACATCAGTGTCTGTCTATAACCAGGAACCGAAACTCCTCCATGTCACCTCTCCCATACCTGGAGGCTCTTAAGCCAAATTAAGTGGGATTGCACTAACTCGAGGACAAGTTCTAGCCTTAAAACGAACTTTGTGGGACAAGCTCGCCAGGCATGGTGTTGAAGCTGACACCCTGGTTTTTTTAAAGAACTGTCTGGATGAGATCCTCCAACCAGGACAGGAGGTGCTACTGTACTTTACCCAAAGGGTAGTGGGGGGGTGGAACAAGCTGCCCAGCCTTGTTGTTGAAGCCGGTACCCTGGCTCCTTTCATGAACCAGTTGGAGGAGACCCTCAGGTTAATTAGCTGTTAGCTATCAGACAGGTTGCATGAACCAAATGGCTTCCTCTTGTTTAAAAAAGTGTTGTTTTCTTAAATTTTTAAGTATGGCATATTTACTATACTAATAGTACACGGGATGGGAATATCTTTGAGTTTTGTATTTTATGAGACTTAAATAGGAAATTGAATTGGGGAAAAAAACAATGTTTATGTCAAAATCTCTACAGAATGTTAAAAATGTGTATCACAAGATAAAGACAAAGCACTTATCTTACTGCTGACACCTTGAATCAACAACACAAATTATAGGTCTTCTGCTAAATAAAACCCAGCCTCCAGCAACAGCATCCAAACAACACTTTGAGAACAAATTGGTAACAGAGACGAAAATGCATTTTGTCCGTTTTTATCCTGATTCTGAGGTTGAGAAACCGCTGTTCTTTCACATAAGTGCGCTTCAATCCAAGATACTTGGACTACTTAATGATACTGCATGATAAACAGCTTTTTCTTTTATTCTCTGAATAGTAGTCAGAAAACTGGAACGTTACTGTTTCAGACAAAGGTTAGCTTCTGAATTGTTGTCAAAATATTTTTTCAGCTCATTGTGTAGTTTAGTCTTCCTCTATATATCTCTCATGTATGATAATAACTAACTTTGCATTTTGTCAGAAAAGCTGATGAATTTGATCTGAAGGATATGGCATTCATCCAACCATTTTCGAAACCGCTTTATCCAATAAGGATTTGCGGGCAAACCTGTTGTATCATTGCTGGGGCCCTGGGTTCAATTCCTGGGGTGCTGTCTGTGAGGAGGTTGCATGTTTTTCCCCTCTGTGTTGACGTGGTGCTCCAGGTTTCCTCCCATAGTCCAGAGGCATGCTGGTGGGTTCATTGGCTTCTGGGAAAATTGGCCCTGGTGTGAGTGTGTGTGTGAGTCTGAGTTTGCCCTGCGATGGACTGGCATCTGTTCCGTTTTGTCCCCTGCCTTGTGCCCATTGCTTGCTGGGATAGGCTCCAGCTCCCTGCTCCCTTTCTGGAACAACGGATGGTTGACCGTTGTGTGCCGAGAGAAAGCGTGAGACCAGCCTAAAACCAGTGAAAGGATGCAGGAGAGCTCTGTGTAATGGTGACTAGGGATGGAGAGCCCTTTAAAAATCTAAACTCAAAACCTTCTTCTTAGAAGAGCCTTTACTTGACTGGTTCTGTTCTTTACCTGTTTGCTCTCATTGTTTTTTCTCATTGTGCATATCTTGTGTATTTTTTTTTTGTTGTTGTTGTGGCTCTGTTAAGCATTTTGAGAAGCCCACTTTAAAGGCGCTATATAAAATAAGGTTTATTGCTTAAAAATAGCTGAGGGCTGAAGCAGACTTGTGCTCTGAACTCTGCCGTTTACAACAAGGCTGCTTGTGAAAATACATCAGAGAGGATAGACAAATATGCAGCTTAACTACAGGAAGAAAAAAGAAGGTTTTGGCATTACTGCCAATGCAAGTGATTATTACCGTTTTTAAGAACAGTTAAGAAAAGAAGGGGCTGTTCAGCCCGTCTCGCCTGCTTGGTAGTGAGAAGTTAATTGATCTGAGGATGTTATCCAGCTGTTTCTTGACGGAAATCAGGGCATGGGCTTCAACAACATGGCTGGGTGGCTTGTTCCATACCCCCGCCGCCCTTTGTGTAAAGCAGAGGCTCCTGATGTCAGTTTCGAATGCACTTCTGCATCCTCTCTGGTTCGTGATTGACAGTTCATTGGGAGGAAGTGCATTGTGTTGCCTTTTTCAACACCCTTGAGGATTTTGAATACTTGTATCAGGGTATTTTTGTAAAAAAAAAACACATTAAGCCGGAGAATTTAAATGAATCCACGAGCAGGTGCAAATTAAAACACAGCTAAGCCGAGGTCAGCAAGCTGTGGGAACCTGTACCAAATATTCCCTCTAGCTGTGGAAGTGCAAGATGTCATGTTAGATTCATCTTTATTCATTAAAATCAATTAAAATGTTAACAATCTGGCCAAGTAATAAAAACACCTGAAAAAATAAAGAGTGTGAAGTAAATCACCAAGTGGGGAAAATGGCCTGATAAGCAACTCTCGTACAGGTCCAAGATTAATACCGTTAAAAGATTCCTTCTTTCCTCCTTTACATGAAAAAATCTGTCCTGCAGAGTTGAATAAGTATATTTATTTTGAGAGGTAACTGAGTCACTATAAGAAGTGAAGAATCTGGAATATACAACCATTCATTGCAAAGGAAGCAGTAACAGGTTTATTCCATGCTGAAGAAAGAGAGAAAACCCGACATTTCGGCTGTGAAGCCTTCTTCAGGTGTCGAGAGTCGCTGATCATTTTCCCCCACTTCGTGATTGACCTCATGCTCCTTGTTTTTTCACTGGATTTGATTACAAGGCCAGATCGCTAACATTTGAATTGATTTGAACACATCAAGATGAATCTAACATTAAATAAACAACCATTTACGTACAGGCGGGGCCATGTTCTCGAGCAAGCCAATCTGTCAGAAGTGATGGAGAGTATGGAGTCAATGTGATAAAGGGTTTGGGTTTTTTATTCAATTCACTAGCTACATGTTACTTCACTAGAGGAGATTACTTTTTTTTAAACAAGAAGCAAAGCAGGATTGAAATTGCCTGTAAGGGGAGATGCCTTAATTTAGAAAATGTACACACCGTACATATATCCCTAAATATGTACAGGGCGAAGCGGGGGCTCTGTGGCTAAAGATCTGTGCCTGTGGCTGGAGGGTTGCTGGTTTGAAACCCGCAGCCGGCAGAGGAATCCTACTCTGTTGGAGCCCTGAGCAAAGCCCTCAACCCCAGCTGCTCCAGGGGTGCTGTATAAATGGCTGACCCTGCACTCTGACCCCCAGCTTCTCTCCCTGTCTGAGTGTCTCATGGAGAGCAAGCTGGGGTCTGTGAAAAGACAAATTCCTGATGCAAGAAACTGTATATGGCCAATGAAGTGATCTTATACTTTTTTACTTCAAATGTACCCCCTCCTCACAGACGTCATTCATTTTATTCATTTGTTAGTTTCTCCCGGGACTTGGAAGTTTTAAACCTCTTCTGCAAGCGAAGCCCTGGGACCCAAAACCAATCCGATATTGGACACATCCCGTTATCCCACCACCAGACACCTCCATTCCTGAGGTTTTCCGTGTTTCCCCCTAGGCCTTGAGGGCCAGAACTTGTCCCTCGTGGATAAATTGAGGGTTCGGTTCAACCTTTTCCAGCCTGGCCCAGTTAAAAGAAAGAGCACCACCACCTTACGTTTGTGCCGAGAAAAGAGTAGGTGTGTTATCCCCGGTGTCCTGGCCAAATTCCCCCCTGGCCTTTACCAGTCATGGCCTCCTAATAACCCCCCTCTCTGAACTGGCTTCATCCCTCTGCTCTCCTCCCCACTGAGAGCTGGTGTGTGCGGAGAGGACTGGAGCTTCATCCAGGTGGGGCTGCACACTGGCGGTGGTAGTGGGATTCCTGCCTGTAAAGAGCTTTGAGTGGAGTGTCTAGAAAAGCGCTATAGAAGCGTTAGGAATTATTATAACAAGCATTTTGACGGATGTCTTTGTCTAGAAAAATGAAGTGTCTTTGTTCGGCAGAAATCGCAGCCGACAGGAGACTGATGAAGCACAGCGAGTCCTGTGTGTGCGCGTGTGTGAGCACAGCACTCCACTTTTACCAGGCTGCTGTGTTTCTGCGAGTCAGTCTGGGAGAACAGGTAGGATGTGATGTGTGACACACACACAAACGTACAACGCCCCCTCCGACAGGCTCGGAGAGAGAGAAGCCTGCTGCTGCTTTCAGGTTTTTTTCTGCAATCAAATGAAGTACAATTTTCCCACGCAAAGGTGTGAAAGAGAAAACAAAACAGCCTTGTCTCAGGACTACCCCATATATACCTGATTCTGCGGCATACATACATATATACACACATACAGTCTAGGCCTTTGAAAAGCAAGTTCCCCTTAATGTAATGATCTGATTTGTTGGGCACCGGAGAACTCTTGTTGAAATGAAAGCAAGTAGACCCTGTAGCTCTCCAGGGTCTGGGGTTCGAGACTCCTCTGCTGGATCCCCAGTCCAGAATTCCACTGATATAATCGTCTGCGTGGCTGGGACCCCTGGTTCAGTTCCAGCTCCGGGGAGGGGGGGTGTCTCACGGCCCTGCTGAGAATTTCCCCCTCACGCGAAAAGCCCGGTGCCGGATCCACTCCTCGCCTCTGCCCTGCGTGTGCGCTCGCGCTGTGTGTCTGAGCTGGCACCCCAGCAATCCCTTCCCTCCTCCGAGCTAATTAGCGCAAAGAAAATCTCCCATCTGTAAACCCCGCGATCTCCCGAATTAGAATTGCAAATGAAGGCAGAGACGTCATTAATTCCAGCTGGGTTTAGACGGGGGAGAATCGGGCGGGGTGGGAGGGGGTGTTGATACAGTGTCTAAGCACGAGGACAGCGTGCTACAGTGCTGCCGTCCTGAGACAGGGAGCAGGGCGGGACAGATGTCCTCGCTGTCTGGCAGACTGGACGCGTGAAGACTGCACCGACAGCGAAGGGGGGGTTGATGACCAGCCGGGAAGGGTTCAACGGAAAATCTTGCGTCTCTCTCCCCCACCCACTCATCTCCTCCTCTCCGCGTGTTGTCTCGTTAGCTGTGACTCCGGAAGAAGGCTAATCGTTTTCATTAGCAGCGCAGGCAGCTGGTGTCGCTGCCAATCATGGGGGTTGAAGAGAACGCCCAAGGAAGGAGGGAGAGGAGGAGGGAGGAACAGAGATGAGGTGTTAAGCAGAGATTGGTGGGGACTTCCCACTACCTGTAAAGCGCTTTGAGCGGAGTGTCCAGAAAAAGCGCTATAGAAGTGTAAGCAATTATTAGAATTATTAAGCGCAGGGGTGTGAAGAGAGAAGGGGAGAGGGCTGTTTAGGCATGAGCAGCATTATCACCTTGGAACCTGATTTCAGCAATGGCTACAAGCCAAGCAAGGAAGGGGAGGCCTTTCAGCAAGATCAGAAGCTACAGGTTGCTGCCACCAGTGGTGTCAGTGGACCTGTAGGTGGCGCTCTTTGCTCTGACCACAATGGGTCATCTATTGGAGACTGGAACAGTGTGCTGTGGGAGGTACCACCTTTGCGATGAGACTCTACCCCAGTGGCTCGCAGTCCTGGTCCGGTGGACCCTGCCGGTTTTCATCACAGCCCCGCCCTTCATCAGATCCCCGAAGGCCTCACTGGATCGAAGAAGGTGCTTCAGCAGAACAGTTTCATTTTGTTTCTAATCACAAGTTTGGGATTTCTTTCTACTCGCACACCGCCACGGTTAAAGCGCCCCAGCGTCTCGGAGAGCTGGGGACGTGGGGCAGATCAAGCAGATTACTGCGAAGTGAAGGAAAGGATTGATTGTGGGACCGAGGGCTCAGCTGGAACACAAACCAGCAGGTGCCAGGCTCACTGGGACCAGGACTGCAAATTACTGCTTTAAATCAAGGCCTTGACTCATTTATTGTTGAGCATTTCTTGTCACTAACGAGCCAAAGGCACTGTAAGAGCAAGGCTGTTACTCTTACAGTGCCAAAAATTGCACCCCGGGCTTGAACCTCCCCAAAGTTCCTCCCTAAGCAGTGTATACGCTGATCTGCTGTGTAGTGGGGGCTGCATCCCCTCCTCATGTCCATGAACCAAGCGCTTGTGATGTCTTTGGGATGCACAGCACTGCACAAAATGCGAGGGGACCACCGCCGTCGTCACCCCTCAGAGAGTCAGTCTTTATTTGACAACGCCGAAAACCGGCCTTTAAAACTGAAACATTACAATTAAAAAAAAAACAACCCAATCACAACAACACACACAAGCGTTCCACCGACCATCACACTAACCCCCGCTGTTCAACACAGCCCTCGATCACTGGCCGGGCGGCCGGTCAGTGCCAGCGACCCCTTTCTGACCGTGTGCGTCTCCCACCTCCCCTCGTGCTGTCCTGCCACTGACCTGCTGCCCGTCCCTGGGGGCCCGCCGCACCAACAAGGACGAAAGAGAACGCGGCGAAGCGCAGACCGGGGTTTATTGAGCGGAATCACTGAAAAACAACTCGGGAGGCGGAAAAAAACTCAAACACAGCTGAATAGCTCCATCCTTCCGGGTGGATCTTCTTCCTGCCTCTCAAGGCCGCCAAAGCGTACAGCGCGCGCGCTGCGGTCGCGAGCCAATTTAAACCTCTAGCACGGACGGCTTAAAAAAACAAAAAAATCGAGCCCGCGCTGGATGAATTCGAAACCAAGGTAAAATCTAGAACGCGGTGCAAACTGGACTAAAATACAAATCCTTCAGTCGGGGTTAGTGGGCGATCCATGCGAGTGCAATCGGCTCTGTGTATGTGCTCCTGTCATGTCGTGCGTCTTCAGTTTGATTTGGACCAAATCTTCCCACTGCCACGGAGTCTAAAATAGAGGAATGGGGGAGGGGGCAGGATTAATGGATAACCTAATACACATCCAAAAGATGTATTTAACTCAAGATACATTTAGAATTTGTTTTTTGCAGGTCCTAGTATGACAATATATTGTACGTCCACAACACATGATATTCACACCCTTCACCCCTAGTTAATGAACACTCTTACCCTTTGACCTTTGAACTCTTTTTGCCCGGTTGCCGTGGCTCCTGGGAGGAGGCGGGGTCTCGTGGCTCGCCGGCTGGCTGGTCAGGGTCCTGATTGGTCGCTGCTCCGGCAGGGGCCGGACCAGAGGACGAGGAGGAGGAGCTCGCCTTCAGGGTCTTCTGCAGGTTGGAGACCTGAGAGCCAGCGAGAGAAACATAAGAGTTGTTTTCTCACTCTCTCTCTCTCTCTCTCTCAGCCCACCTAGGCAACCTGGCACATCACTCGAGAGTGAAGGTATTTACAGTACAGTGAATACATCAGAGCATTACTGGGACTGTTTTTTTAAGGCAGCCCACGATCTGTATGAAAATGCTAGTCTCAATCCCTCCTTGGACTGCTTCTTCCAATACAGGGTCGCAGGGGAACCGGAGCCTATCCCAGCAAGCAAGGGGCGCAGGGCAGGGTACGCCAGTCCATTGCTGGCGTGTAGGAAAACTGGCCCTGGAGAGAGTGTGTGTCTATTTACCTACCAGTACATCTTTGGACTGTGGGTGGAAACCCATATGAACCTGGGGAGAACATGCAAGCTCCACACAGACAGCACCCCAGGAATTGAACTCAGGGCCCCAGCGCTGCGAGGCAGCAATCCTGATCACTGTTCCACCATAGTCTCTATCCTTGCCACGTGAATTCTTTCTTGTGCTTTCTCACACATCCAGGAGAACACACTTGCATCTGCCCCCCAGTTTATGAAGGCTGTCTAGTTCCAGGCAGTTCTGATCAGCTGTGCAGTGGACAGACCGGAAACAGAACGATCTTCAGAAAGTTGCTGCGAGTTCACCTTCAAACTGCAGGCAGAATACTTCCGTCGTTCCATCGGGACACAGTTCAATCAAGCAAGATCAGATCAATCAATGCACTTCGCCCTGAGCTGTGATCTGATCAGACCGATCAGACAGTCTCAGCTGGCTAGACACCTTTTCAGACTGGACCTTTCTGAAATGGACCAGCCCACAGTGTTTGTATCCTCTGTTACAACTCTCACCATCAGCCCTGCATGTCACAATACAAGGAGTGTAGAGGTGTAGAGTGTACAGAGGCAATACTGACCTCGGTCTCCACTTGAACTTTGACCTTCAGCTGGTTCTCTCTGTACTGGTTGGCCCGGGTCACCTGCTCCTCGATCCCGCACAGCACGGCCTCGCAGCCTGAGCACCTGCACAAGAAGAGCACGAGGTCTTCAGAAATGACAGCGAGTGACATTCGCTCTGACGTCCCTTGACACGCCTTTGTGAAATTGACTGCATTGTGATTCGAGTTGAACTCCGGGCTCCAGTTTTGCGAGGCAGCAATACTAACCCATTTCTGGACCAGACTATCTGAGTGTAGTTCTGGGAGTACCACAACACATTATACAGATCTGATGAGAAATACATATAAAGGTAATGACGCCGGACCACAGCTGTCTTTCTGAGCAATCCATGTTCTTCCTGTTTACAGTATGGCCTTTCCTGGTGCATCAAGAACAGGACACATGCCGACAGCACCTCACTCAAACCACAAAACAAGGGCTGAACACTCTGAGCACTCTGTATGACAGAGCTGGGCATGCAGAAGACAAGGTGCACACAAGATTTCACCTAAAACAATCCTTCACACTCCCCCGGAATTGGACATTTCAGAATGCTCTTTCAACAGTGCAGAGGGAGGGCGGGTCAAAAGAATCGCTTCAGGTCCGAGATCAGTTCTGTGAAACAGCAGCAAAACGGATGCCAACCCAGCACTGTAGCTGAATCTCAGCTCTATCTCTCAAAACATCCTTAAGACACCCCCCTGAGCCTTAAATCACTCACACGATGAGTTCTGTAATGGACTGGTGACTTAGATATGATGTACATCGTTACTGTTTGCCAAGGCAATACTAACAGATTATATTAAATAACAGGAATTGTAAGTCTTCTCCAACTAAAGCCTACATTCTCTGAATTTTTACGAGCCCCTCTGCTAGGGCAGATATCATTTTTTTTTATATTGATCTGTAAGCAAATGAAGTGCTTTATGCTGTAGGTTGTGGGTTGAGAAGACATACGTTGGTGAAAATGATGAGAGGAATCGTGTCTTTTGGTCATTTTAAAAAATAATCTTTGAACAACACAGGGAGCAGGTCCTGCAGGAAATCAGTTCTGTCAATCGGACGCCAACCCATCGCTGCTGCTGAAAATGAACTGTGACTTAAAAGTGACAGAAACGCACAACACTGACTTCTAAAGGGAAAAGTAAAGCAAATTAAAGGAACGTCAGGTTTTCCCCAATTCTCAAAAACTAGATAACGTTCCAGTGGAAAGGCAAATTCAATGTTGTTTTTTTTCTGAAGCAAACAGATTTTTAGGATCTCGGGTCTACTGAATCAGCTACCCCCCCTCCACCATCTTCCTCTTGCACGATTCCTTCGGGGCTCCCTGCCAGCGCCCCACGTCATCCGTGGTGCTGCTCACCATTCCTGCAGGGTGTTGGCAATGTTGGGCAGCTCGTGGCGGCCCAGGTCCCTCCCCACGCTGCAGTCCACCTCCACCTGCTGGTTGCGCTGGTCCAGCTTGCCCTGGATGATGTCGCTGTACACGGCCTCGATGAGCAGGTCCTCCAGCTCCCTCACATTCTTCAGCTCCAGCTGCTGCAGGAGGAGGGAGTAGGGGAGGCACTGGAAGAGGGAAGGAGCAGAGGAACATGGTCAATACACCACAGACTGCGAGTTCACCACCAGTACTACACTCACAGTGCACGGACCGAGAGTTCACCATCAGCACTACATTCACTGTGCACAGACCGAGAGTTCACCATCAGCACTACATTCACTGTGCACAGACCGAGAGTTCACC